GGTCATTATCATTCTTTGGCCCAAAATTTTTTTTAACATAATTTCGGCAAATAAACAAAACAAAAAAGTTTAAATTTGAAATAAAAAAATATTTAATAACAAATAAAAAAAAATTACGATCTAATGATAACATAGTATAAATAAAAAACATATCAAAAGCCAAAAGGCACATGCGCTTCGTCGTTTTTGTCTACTTTTCCTAAGGTACTGTCTATTTTTTAATTATCTTTTTATTTATAGGTTTATTCTGTCGAATTTCTTCGTCCTTTGTTCTTATTTTTAAATATTGTATCTTTCGTTAAGTGATAAATAATTATATGTACATAAATAGAGTCATCTGATTGATTAGAAGCAAAACTGGCAGAAATGTCTAGGTTCGATGCTCAATTAGATGTCTTTAAAGAACTTTTTTTTATGTAACTATTTTTTTACTATTAGGTATGTATTTTAATATTTAAACAAATAAATTTGATTTGATTACTTGAAAGACTATCAATTTTTAAAAAAGAAGAAATACTGGTCAAATTGTTTACAAATTGGATCTGTAAAGACGCCTAGTCCTGAACCCAAGATATTTAGCTATGAGCCAACTGCATCTCTTTAAATGTCTCCATTAGTACTCTCCTCTATATTGAGTCCATTGTCCAAAATTTTAAGTATATGCCACATTTACCATCTGAAGAAGGATTCGCATTATATACAGATAACTCTGGGTATATTTAAAATAAAATGCTAATATCGCCTGGTTCCCCTAATAGAAATAGTCCTCTAACGCTGCTGAAAATGTAGCAAATATTTTATGCATGGGCATTATTGATGTAATCTCATGATTTTACAGTACTGGTTTTTGCAATTTTAGGTGTGATTTTAAGGTTATTCGTTATTCTAAAATTTCTTTTGTTTATTTTTAATCTTTGGCGTCTTTAGAGAACCTGTACCTATTTTATAGTTATAGTTTTAAATTAGAATGTATTTACTTCATCAGAAAGTACATTTTGAATTTGTTAAAAATTCCGTTCGACGAAAATTTTCTAAAGCCTCAACTTTATGAAATTATAAAAATTCAAAAACCGAAATTTAAAATATATAAAATAGATAATATATTTTTATCAAATGGATTCGGCGTTTAAGATTGCCCATATATCCCCCCGAACTTAATCCAATAGAATTAGTTTGGGGTGCAATGAAACGGTTTTAGAAATATTAATTTCTCCTGATTACAATTACATAAAATGATTAAAACGAGCTTGTAAAGGACCTTGTGCGCAATCTCATCAGTACTCCTGTGACGTAATGTGCCAATTAAATTTATCAATAGGGATTGATGTGTCATTTCAAATATACAGTTCACTGAGTATTATATAATACTATATTTATCCAAACAGTTTTATTTTGTTGATTATTCTAATTTAATAAACCGTCATCGGATCAGAGTTCGCCAAAATATGTTCAAAGTTGGAATTTTATTTCTCAAATCCACGTTTTGTTCCTCGGATGGTGCTGATTCGTTTCGAAAATTAATATTCGCGGCGAGTAGGTATTTTAATTGAATTATGTTCCGAACGCTTCCCGATTAATTTGGTTCCTAATCAAAGACAACAATCGTTTCGGCAAAGTATATGCTAAAAAGAACTTTCATAATTTATAGCTTTTGTGTTGAAAATCAGAATCATAAGGTGACATGTTTCACTTTAAAAGTATTGATTTTCCAAGCTTGCATTATGCATAATAATTAGAATTCGAATAATAATTATTGAATACTATAATACATCAAAAATAACAATTCTCTTTTTCCAACACACGCCAATCAAAATAAACTGTATAAAAACACTGAGTGTTGCAGTTTTTTTACCCAATCTCGCGAAACGTCAATGTGAAATTTGTCAAAAAGATGACGAAAAATAATCAACATCTCTTTCGGCTTCATCGTTTATAAACAAAGCAAATGTTCTATTTATATTGTTAAATAATCTTTCTAAATACCGCGCGAGGTGAGAATTTTTTCTAAGAACATTTTATTGTTTCCTTGACGAAGACACAATGAAAATGCATTACGACCTCCAAGACTTCAACATCTTTGCTTTCTTTCGCTTTGTTTTGGCCGATTATAATTAAGATTTGTTATTTGGTAGTTGGTGTTGCCTATATGGCAGAGACATTTTATTTAAAATATATCGTTAATTTTGGCATGCGCAAATTATTTATGCGTAGTATTAATATCAGTCGTATTTCGTTACTTCTAAAAGATATATGATAAAAAAAAACAGAACATTCGTTTTGTACGCCGGTTCGAATTATTAAATGCAAAGTGAAATTACCGATGAACCTTCCCTTTTCCTTCCCTGATATTTTTTTCCTTAAGTTCATCAATCACGACGGGATACAGAAATATTTTAAAGGTAAGAAAAACTAATTTCTAAAATATAGTCTCCATACAGTTCACTAAATACACAACATAAATTGGTCCTTCGAGCCGGATTTGAATAATTTGTCCGGAGATTAGTTGTTCATACTTTAAAAATATATATGCCGGTTTCATCCAAATTTAGTAGTTTTGATTATATTTGTTAATTTAGTTCACAATAATTAAATAATTTGCCGTTTGCTATAAATTAGAATTGTTTTCCAACTTCAAATAGTAGTTTTTTTTTGTATAAAAAAATAAATAAAAAAAAACGTCGAGACCAAGACATTCTGCCTTTTGTTGACCTAAAAAACCGTTCGTGGAATTTGAATCGTAGAGTTGTTTGTAGTTCTGCGCATCACCTTTGTCTTTTATAAATATGCCGAAGAATTCAAATGAATTAAAATTAGATAGATATCGTGCAAAACGGGAAAATATTTTTCGAAGAGCTCAGCTTTGCTATGAAGCTGGTCAGGCTTTAGAAATCGATCCGCGAAATGAAACAAAAATTCGAAACTTTTCAGTTAGATACAGTACCATCGAAAAAACTGTCCTTGAATTCGATCAAATTGTGCAAGAAATTGTTATTTTGAAACAGGAAATGAATCCTGAGGCCGAAGTGGATTATTTTACTATTTCAGATGCGTTTCATGAAATTCAGTCCAATATTGAATATTTAGCGGCAATATTATTGAAAAAACCTGTAGGTCATTCACAATTTCAAAATAATAGTAGTGGCGATACACATATAAAAATGCCTAAAATTGAACTCGTTAAATTTGATGGAGAAGATTTATCCTTATGGCCTATTTTTTATGAAAATTTTAAGCAATTCGTGCATAGTAAAACAGAATTTTCAAAAGCTGATAAATTACAATATTTATTGGGCTCCCTGTCAGGAAAGGCATTAAAAACTTGTAGTTCAATAGAATCGGTCCCAGATAATTATGATATTATTTGGAAATTGTTAAATGATAGATATAACGATAAAAAATATTTGTTTAATTTGTATATGGATAGACTTTTGAATTTCCGTTGTTCATCAACAACTATTGCATCAAATTTAGAATTTTTCTTAGAAAAGTTTGATACCAATATTTCTGCAATTAAACGATTAAAACTTGACAATTTAGAAGATCACATTTTAACTTATTTAGCTATGTCAAAATTGCCTCAAGAGATCATTAATGATTTTGATTTGATTAGAGATAACGATGAGTTGCCTTCTTATGAGGATCTTTTAAAGTTTTTACGCCATCGATATAAATCGTTTAACAAAAATGAAAAGGTTAGATATGTCAAAACAAATAATTTTAGTGTATCCAAACCTGCAAAGTCATTTCATTTTCATGAGAAGAATGACAATCATGTTTCCTCTTCTTGTGTTGTGTGCAATAAAGGACAGCACTTAATTAAAGATTGTAAATATTTTTTAACTCTATCATTTGAATCTCGTTTTAAATTGATAAAAGAGAAACAATTATGTCTTAACTGTTTTTCATCCAAACATCGAGTCTTGAATTGTCCATCCAAATTTTGTTGTTTAAAATGTAAATCTAAACATCATACTTTGTTGCATAAGCCCAATTACGAAGCACCGGATAATGTCAGCGCTCCGAGTGCTAGCCAAATAGTTGTCCCTAGTTCTAGCCAAAGATCGTCCTCGAGTTCGTTAGAAAATACGCAACCGATTCTGCATGTATTTTATCCAAATAGTAAGAGTCTAAACCCCTCGAAAGTATTTTCTGTTAGTCTCTTTGGAACAATAGTTGTTAATGTTGTAGATAATTGGGGCCACGCACAAAAAATTAGATTTTTATTAGATAGTGGTTCTTCTGCAAATTTAATAACCCGTGAATGTGTCAGAAAATTAGGTTTGTCATATTCCAAATTGAAGTTGAACGTCTCAGGAGTAGGCGGTTCCGAAACCCCTATTCTAGGAAAAGCCCATTTAGTCATATTTCCACATTTTGAATCAAAAATAAGTTATCCCATAGAAGTTTTGCTAGTAGAAATGGTAGCAAATGCTTTACCTGATCATCCTATTGATAAAACCTCCTTGCCTAACATAGAACATTTGATACTAGCTGACCCCAATTTTGATTATCCTGGTAAAATAGATGGAATATTGGGAGTATCAATTTTCTCTAATATTATAGGCTTTAATAGGATAACTTCATCCGACAGTGCAGTTTCCGCTATTGAAACTACTTTAGGTTATGTTGTCATGGGTTCAGCTCAGCCTACTTCCAATTATGTCCACACTTATTGTTCATTTTTTAGTAATTCTCTCCAATTAGATTCCTTTGTAGAAAGAATGTGGGAATTGGAGGATTTGTCCTCTCCTTCTCTCTCGTCAGAAGATGAAATATGTGAAAAATTATTCTTAGAAAATTTCCGAAGAGATCCTGATGGTAGATATGTAGTATCATTACCATTTAAAGATGATCCTAAGTTATTAGGAGATTCATACGCATTAGCAAAAAATCGATTATTATCCTTGGAAAATCGTCTCGATAAAAATACAAATCTTAGAAAAATTTATAATGATATTTTTCAAGACTATGTAGAACAGGGACATATGAATTTAATTTCGATTAAATCTATAGATGCACCGTCATACTATATCCCCCACCATTGTATATTTAAACCAAATAGTTCCAGTACCCCTTGTCGAATAGTGTTTGATGCATCCATGAAGACAAATGCAGGTCCTTCTTTAAATGACATTTTGTATAAAGGTCCAAAATTACAAAATAACCCGATAACCATATTGTTGAATTTTCGTCTTTTTCCAATTGCCGTAGTAGCCGACTTAAAACAAATGTATAGACAGGTTAAGATGATAGAGCCTCATAGGTCATTTCAAAGAGTTCTTTGGAGATTTAACCCCAATGATCCTATTGCTGTATTCGAGTTAAATACTTTGAGTTTTGGAGTGACATCGTCGCCTTTCCTCAGTCTTCGAGTAATAAAACAATTGTGTGAAGATGAATCTAAATATTTTCCGGATGCCATATTACCAATCTCTCGTGATATGTATATGGATGATCTTATTAGTAGTTTTCCCAATGTGCAAGAAGCTATGTCTGCACATTCCCAGTTAGTTAGTTTGTTTCAAAAAGGCGGTTTTAAAATAGTCAAATGGATGTCAAATTCCCATGATCTTTTGTCTAAAATACCTGAGTCTTTACAATTAGTAAAGGCTAAAGAATTTGATAAATCAATTTCTAAAGTTCTAGGATTACAGTGGGAAGAAAAATTTGATAATTTTAGTTTTGGAGTAGAGTCGTTTTCTTGGAAATCCTGTACGAAAAGAAATATACTGTCGGTTGTTGCTCGTATGTTTGACCCTTTGGGATTTTTATCTCCCTTGACACTTCTTCTAAAAATATTAATTAAAAGACTTTGGGAACTTAAAATTGACTGGGATAGTATCGCACCTAAAGAAATTGAAATTAAGTGGAATAGGATTCATAATGAATTCAATACTCTTCAGAAAATTGAAATTCCGCGATATATTGCTGTTACCTCAGACTCATCATTATCCCTAATTGGGTTTTCAGATGCTAGTGCTGTAGGATACGCAGCTGTTGTATATTCTAGGGTCGTTGATTGTAATAATGATGTACAAATTTCTTTAATATATTCCCAGTCCAAAGTCACACCTCTATCCAAGATTACTCTACCTAGGTTAGAATTGTGTGGAGCTCTTCTCCTAGCCAGGCTTCTTTCACACGTTATTAAGATTTATTCTCCTAGACATAATATTGACCGAATCTTTGCTCTATCTGATTCTATGATGGCCCTTAATTGGATAAAATCACCTAGCCCTAAATTGAAATCGTTTGTTGCCAATAGAGTTTGTAAAATTCAAGAGATGCTTCCTTCGCCACATTGGTTTTTCATTCCGGGTGAAGAAAATGTTGTTGATTGTGCTTCCAGAGGTTTATACCCCGCCACTTTAGTAAATAACTCTGTATGGTTTTCAGGTCCAAAATGGTTGTCACTAGATCCAAAATATTGGCCAATTCAGTCAATCAATGAAAATGAAGTCCGAATGGATGATTCTGAATATTTGTCAAAGGTTTCTGTATTTATAGTTACCCCCAGCGAATCTCCATTATATAGTTTAATTGAAAAATTTTCCTATATGTCCAAACTTCTGAACTCCGTAGTTTATGTACTTAGGTTCCTGAAAAAATTACCCCTGCATAAGCAAATCCAAGCATCTGATTTAGAAAAGGCAGAATTTGCAGTAATTCGTGCTGTTCAACAGAAACATTTTTCTGATGAATATAAGGCAATTTCCAAAAATACTTGCGTTAAATCTTCCATACGTCGTTTAAATCCTTTTGTTAAGGATGGTTTAATTAGAGTTGGAGGCAGACTTAGAAATTCGTCATTGACTTTTGAAGAGAAACATCCTATCTTATTGCCTAAACCAGATCCTTTTACAGTTCTTTTGATAGATTATTTCCATAAATTACATTTGCATACTGGTTCTTATTTATTGCAGGCATTATTAAGACAAAAATATTGGATTTTATCCGCTCGCCAAGTTATCAGACATAGAGTCTGGAAATGTAATCGTTGTTTCCGACTAAATCCAAAACCCGAATTTCCTATGATGGCAGATCTACCTTCGATGAGAGTAAACCAAACCAAAGCATTTTTACACACTGGTGTAGATTTCACTGGCGCATTCTCTATTACTATTGGAAGATACCGAGGAGTAAAAACTCAAAAGGCATATGTGTGTTTATTTATATGCTTAGCTACCAAAGCTATACACTTAGAATTAGCTTCGTCATTATCCACTGATGCTTTTTTGGCTGCCTTTAAAAGGTTCCTTTCGCGTCGTGGAAATTGTTCTGTGGTATACTCTGATAATGGTACAAATTTTGTAGGTGCCAAAAGAACCCTTGATGAAGTTTACCAGTTTGTAAATTCTAAACATTATAGAGACTCCTTCCAAATTGAGTTAAATACCCATAGAATTTCTTGGAAATTTAATGTTCCCTCAGCCAGCCATTTTGGTGGAATTTGGGAAAGTAATATAGAAAGTGTCAAGTTACACTTATCTCGAGTAGTAGGTAATCAAATTCTTACTTATGAAGAATTCCTAACTATCCTGAATCAAGTTGAATGTCTCTTAAATTCGCGCCCCCTTTGTATAGAAAGTACTGACCCCAACAACCCCACAGCTCTGACACCCTCTCATTTTTTATGTACTGAACCGTTGTCGTCTTTACCGGCCCATGATGTAATATTTGAAAATATTAATGTTTTACATAGATACAAATTATTAGACAGTATCGTTCAGCACTATTGGAAGAGATGGCATTTAGAATATCTAACTTCCATGCAATCCAGACAAAAATGGAATACTACTTCAAAACCTCCTAAAGAAGGCATGGTAGTTGTAATTGTTTATGACAATATCCCTCCCTTGCAATGGCCGTTGGCTATAATTGAAAATTTATATCCCGGTAAAGATGGGATTTCTCGAATAGCTAAATTACGGACCAGAAATGGTACGTACATGCGCCCAATTGCTAAGCTCTGTCCTCTTCCTAGTCAATAATGGGAATGAGGATACATTGATATAAGTTATTTGTAAATATTAGTTAAATTTATAACACGTTAATAATTTTGTTAGGTATATATATATTTATTATTTTCATAAATTTGGTGATGGCATAATTACGAAGAATAATTAGTAATATTAACATTTTAATTTTGTTTTTGTTGAATTTGCATTCAACGGGGGGGCAGGATGTTTTGGCCGATTATAATTAAGATTTGTTATTTGGTAGTTGGTGTTGCCTATATGGCAGATACATTTTATTTAAAATATATCGTTAATTTTGGCATGCGCAAATTATTTATGCGTAGTATTAATATCAGTCGTATTTCGTTACTTCTAAAAGATAGTTGATAAAAAAAAAACAGAACATTCGTTTTGTAGGCCGGTTCGAATTATTAAATGCAAAGTGAAATTACCGATGAACCTTCCCTTTTCCTTCCCTGATATTTTTTTCCTTAAGTTCATCAATCACGACGGGATACAGAAATATTTTAAAGGTAAGAAAAACTAATTTCTAAAATATAGTCTCCATACAGTTCACTAAATACACAACACGCTTACTTCACTCTATTTATTAAAAACAAAACAAGACATATATTAAATCTGTTTATTATCAATCATAAAGTTGAGCACTTATATTATTTCACTATGTAAAGTCGTTATATAAGTTGAAGCTAGTTTTTTAGCAATACATTCGATACGATTAACACGTATATTTAAGAGCTCTTCATTTTACCGTGATTGTTGTGCCAAAAAAACCAAGAGTTGGGTTCGAGAGATATACCAGTGAATGTAGAAAAATTCAAGCTTTGTGTTGATGGGAGACAGGTTTACATCGCAACTCTAGGAAATACAAAAACTCTGAAAATAGTAAGTCATTAGACACATATTTCAATTATTAGAACAAAAACTTGTACCTACCTACTCTGATGAGATACCTAATCGATACCGATTGAGATACGAGGAAAAAGCAATATTTATAATGAGCAATGATGAACAAAATGTGACGACACAAGATGTTTTTAATTTATTGAAAAAAATAGACGATAAATTGGTAAACAAATTAGATGGGTTAAAAGACGAAATAAAAACTCTAAAAGTATCAATGAAGAAACTGAGACATTAAAAAAAAAGGTAGCAAATCTGGAGGATCAAAATAACGGGCTGAAAAAATCTTAAATATATCGAAAGAAAAAATAAATCCAATAATGTCATAATATTTGGGATCAAGGAAGAAGCAGAAGAGAACCAAGCAAAAATATTAGAAGCAATATTACATTTAATCACTATAAATCTTTAAATGAGTCTTGCACCTTTTGAAATTAACAACACTTACAGAATAGGAAAAAATAAAAGATCCTTCTCTCCTTTACTACAGCTTTAAAAAAGCATGAAGTTATGAGAAACTGCAAAAAATTAAAAGATCCAGGAGTTTCAATCTGTGACGATCTTACAGACGAAGATAGAGAAGAAACGAAAATTTTGGTTGAAGCCTTAAAACAGGCCCGGGTACAAAATAAGAAAGCTGTTATTAGGGGAAACAAGATAATAATAGGACAGTTTTACACCGCTCAAGAATTATCAGACGAAAAAATTAGTGAAGGAAACATCGTCAGTATTTTCCTTACAAAAAAAAAAACAGTAAGTGAACCTGCGACACCAACACCAACAGAAGCAGAGAGTGAAAATAAAGTAGAAATAGAGGCTCATCTCTCCAATAATATAAAGTACCAAATTAATAGTAGAACACAAGCCAACCTAAAAAAAAGAGGACAAACCGAATAATACTCAAAAAGAAGGACCTTCAAGAGTTATTCAAGAGAAGAGAAAAGAAGAATTATATGATAGGACTAAGGAACAAATAATAAAAAAAAGTGAAAGACTGGCTCAAAAATAATTTAGCTAAAGCGCGGTCGAATAAATAAAGACTAAACCAATAAAATATTGCTTAGTCCCGGTATAATCACTTTAGAACTAATTTAAATCGATGTGAGCAAGTATTTTATATTTAGTTAAATTAATATTATTTTGATGAGTATATGTGTGAATATTTATATAAAAAGATTACTAAAAATTTGTAAGGTCATATAACATATAACAAACAATAAATTTAGTCGTTTACCTTTTATTTTATTTTTATTAGATATATCTCTCTTATCAGTTGGAAATAAATTAAACAAATCTTTAATGGATCCCTATACAGGGTGTTATTGAAATACACGTACATATTAAAACTGGGTATTGCGCAGATCCCCACTGAATGTAGAAAAATATTATTTTTTAAAAATACCCCTTATTAA